TATTGTACAATAGAACTGGCTGGGGAGGGGGCGCCACTGCCCTCTACTGGATGGGATCAGAGCTGCTCCGCCCATGTCATTTCCTGGGGGCCACCTTGGCTTCTGCCTTCCCTCAGACCCACTCATCTCTGCAACATCCTGATCACTGCCATCTCGCCGCCTATGGAAGCCTTGCCAGGCCTCTCTCAGGAGGAGGCTGACGGTGGATTGTAAGGCATTTTCACTTGAACCCTGTGTTCTCTCTGATTCTTGTGCAGGAGCTGGGCACACGCTATGCACTCCATGAGAACGGCCAGACGGAAACAGGTAGGGGTGACAGGAGTCTCTCTGAGCAGTAGGTGTGTTCTGGGGGAGCTGGCTTCCAGCCCTGACACACGGCTCTGTGACCCTGGGCAAGTCACTCAGTCTCCCCGTGCCTCAGTTTCCCACCTGTACAATGGGGATGCACTGTCCTGCATTGCAGGGGTGTCAGGAAGATACATGATTTGCATTACAGTAGCACCTATGGGGCTGATGGCATTTGAGGCCCCATTGTGCTGGGTGCTGTACAGACGCAGTGTCGACTCAAAGACACAGCAGCCAAGGAGAATGGGAAGATTATCTCCTGTAAGCTGATGCACAGAGAGGGACTCCTAACGTCTACTGAAATTAATGGGCGTCAGGAGCCTAAATACCTTGGAGGATCTGGGCCTGAGTGACTTACCCAGGGCCTGTGACAGAGCCAAGAATTGACCTGGATCTCCCGAGTCCCAGCCCAGTGCCTTAACCGCAAGCCCAGCTCAATTCATTACCGCTGCTGAAGAGTCCAGACATTACGATGCTGCAGCTCTATCAATACCTGCAGAGATTTCATAGGTCAAGTGGCTTCTTCACCAGCTGCTCGGCCTCTAGGAATCCGCAGTCTGTAAGTCCTCGGAGCGTTTTCTAAGGGGACCAGGAGAGGGAAGGACGGTCTTGGGTTAAAGAACAAAGCTGTAAACCAGGAGATCTGGGGTCAGACCCAGCTCTGCCAGTCACTTCCCCGCGCCACGTGCTTTGTGAGGCAGGGATAACGGCAATGCCGACCGACAGCACTGGGCGTACATGAGCTTTTCAGATGGACGGTGCTAGCAAGGTGCCGTCTCCCGCAGTGGGCTCGAGCGTGAGACCCTTCCTGTTAGCCCCACTGGAATTCAGAGCTGCCCCTCTGAAGCCTTACGACTCCCAGCCCACACCTGTGAGCTCCTGGAGCCCGATGTGAGACTGGCACACAAGGAAAGTACCCCAGCGTCTGTGTGCGTCACCTTCTCTCTGCTGCTCCCTGGGGGAGTCACTGGGACTTGCGACAGGGCCAGTTCCTTGCTCCAGACAGTAGTTCTCTCCTGACCCTGCTCCCAGAGGCCAGAACTCACTGGCCACGCCCAGCCAATCGGCCAGTGTCTTAGCTGCCCAGGGTCCCAAGACCTCACTTTCCCAGTATTCAGCTAAGGCTCAGTTCTGCCCTTGCTGAGGCTCCGGGGTACCGGAGGGCAGAGTTGGGCCCTTGCCGCTTGGTGTGCGGCTGTAATGTGACATGGTTTGCATTACCCAGGCTATTCGTCGAAGCCAAAGACCAGTGCCGCAGGGATCTACGTGCAGCAGTCCCCACGAGCGGAAAGGTAAAGTCTGCCCTGGGATCACCCCACAAACTGACCACAAGCCCCGCGTGACCCTTTAGAACTACAGACCCTTCCTGGTTACTTGGCTGGGAGCCTTCCCAAGGAATTCTCCATGACGGGGGTGGGTAGCTGGCCCTTCTGCCCTCTGGATGTACTGCTCTATGGGAAAATGGAGGCCCCCGCTCTGCAGGGCTGTCAATCCAACACTCCCCAAAGGGGAGTGAAATGCAGACCCTTCCTGGCTGGGGCAGCTTTGCCCCTGAGGTTTATGGCTGGGAAAGGCCCACCTGAGCAAGAGAGGAAATCACCATGATACGTTTGTCACATATTTGCACACGGGCCCAGACCCTCAGCGGGGGTAAGTCAGCGAAGTTCCACTATCATCCACAGAGCGAGGCTGAATTACCCCGGCTGAGGATCGGGCCCTTAGCGTGTGCCAGGACCCCCCGGCACTGCTCAGCGCCCCTGCACCCCTTCTGCCTCTTGCTGCCGCCGGGGCTCGTCTCAGCTGAGCCGCTCTGTGTCCTCACAACGAAGGGCGCAGGGGAATCGGGCACCTGCTTGGGCTAACCCCCGTTCTGCAGAGGCCTGGCACT